ATCGATTGATTGATTAATTTTTTGGACCAAATTTATTTGTTAATAGTAAATATTAACGTAAGATTATCCGCATTTGTAACGGATATTTTCCACGTAAAACGATTGAAATTGTCCCCTGAACTATTTGTTAATGTTGGAGATTAGTCTTTAATGATGGACTGCTAGTCAATAAAGGAAAATTTAACCCATTTTTATTACGACAAAGATTGGTCTAATACCAATACTTAATCATTTTGTATAGTTTAGGGACAAATTTGTATTTTTAATTGAAATAACGGGACGAGTCTTTCTTTTTTAGAAAGTTCTTGAAAATCACTGAACACCAGGGCGTAATATGTAACTATCCTAAAAGATCAAAATACAATTCAAAGAATAGGAAGGACTTGAGTGCAAATAAAGAACCTATATATAGAAAACCCTAATCCTCCTCCAGTTGTAATTCTAGGGTTTCGCTGATAGAGCCAACCGGAGCGCGGCAGCCACTCGCACACCACCGTACGCCACCAAACAGCCACCATGGGTCGTATGCACAGTCGAGGGTTTGTTTATTCCTACCTCCTGTTTAAGTATCACTTGTCCATGCCACATTGTACTGATTTTTGTATTTTGTCAATCTTTTTTCTTCTTTGGGTGCTTAGTAAGGGTATTTCAGCTTCAGCTCTTCCATACAAGAGGACTCCACCAAGCTGGCTGAAAATCTCTGCTCCTGATGTAAGGAATTTATTGCTTATTAAAAAACTTGAATTTTCCTTTTGTTTCCTTTCATACATATAAATTGATAACTAATAAAATTGGAAAGAAAAATGTAGAGGTTGTAATGATACCTTGTCTGAATTCTAAATTTCCACATAATGACACGGGCGAATCCTCTAAATACTAAAACCTGGATAAAGCAAAGTATTCATATAGCTGATAGCTGATAGTTGATTGATTTATTTAATAGTTTTAATAGTTGTTTAAAAAGTTATGGAAATGCTGAATAGCTGGTTTCATATAATGATGATTATGTTATTAGTTTGTACCTGAACTGAATATGTACGTCTTTAGCTTCAGTGGGTGGGATTTCTAGGTCTAGGAATTTTGTAGATTCATTTTAAATTTACTGAAGAATCAATATAAGGGATTAACTACTGGCCTGAGGAAATGTGACCTTTAGTATAAGTTACTGATGCCTCTTTAATGCCTGTAGTTTCTGCATGAATGCACGATGACAGGTTTCCACAAACAATTGTGTAACCATTTCTCCATGTTGTTTGAACGTGTGATTTCAATTTACCATACCTCAGATAGAACTTTTTAGGTTTTGGCCTTGCATCACTGAACTGACTGGTGTGTGACTGTTGAAACGTGGTCAAGTCATTTTAGCTTTTGTCAAGTAACAGCAATGTTGTGCTTTCCAGGTTGAGGATAACATCTGCAAGTTTGCAAAGAAGGGTTTGACACCTTCTCAAATTGGTGTTATTCTTCGTGATTCTCATGGAATTGCTCAAGTGAAGAGTGTAACCGGTAGCAAGATTCTCAGAATTCTGAAGGCTCATGGTACTCATTTTTCTTTTTTGTGTATCTAATGTTCCTTGATATGACTTTTCTAAAGGAATGCTTGTTTAACCTGTTAATGTTTCCAATCAGGACTTGCTCCTGAGATTCCCGAGGATCTCTACCACCTTATCAAGAAAGCAGTGGCCATCAGGAAGCATCTTGAAAGAAACAGGAAAGACAAGGATTCCAAGTTTAGGTTGATTCTCGTCGAAAGCAGGATTCATCGACTTGCTCGCTACTATAAGAAAACAAAGAAGCTTCCACCAGTCTGGAAGTAGTAAGTTCACTCTTGTGTATTTTATTTTAGCGGTGAACTGCTTCTGACTTTGATTATATGTGTTATATGTGTGAAAGTTGAAATTTTGTTTCGAAATATCTGTCTTAGGGAAATTTACTAGCTAAATTATTTCTACCTGGAGTCTCTGTGGTTCCACCAAATGTGCTATTTAGGTCTATGAATGAAGTGGATTAATTTTATTTCGGGGCTTGTATTGTTCGATTTAATAAATTGGATATTGCTTTGTTCATCCTTTACCCTTTGGCTACTTTATTGGGTTGATGTGCTAGATACCCAACATTGCGCCTGTATAGATATATTGTGATGGTTACTAGTGAGGTGGACACCTGGCAAAGTTTTACTTGCAGTGCTCTGTGTGCACAATGTGGTCGAGTGTGTTATAGTTGCGGTTAATATTATATGAGTTTTATTAGCGCCCCCCACTTTAGCCCTTTTTAGTTCATGAATTTGTTTAACTCTACAAAATCTAGAGAACTGCATTACTGAGGTCAATTTTTGCCTTGCAGTGAATCTACCACCGCCAGTACTCTTGTGGCTTAGAGAAGATCATGGCACGGGATTTCTAGTTTCTTGGTCAAGTCCCATCTTCAAAATTATAGACTAAGTTGTTTTTGTATGGCCGAGTTTGAATGGAACAAATTTTTGTTTTGAGAGATGATAAGGGAACATTTCCAGCTTTAAATTGGCATCCGATTCTCTTAGTACTTGTGGTATATTTATATTTAGCTGCTGTTTTTCAGTTCCCCGTCTCATCAAAGTTTTGGAAGTAGGCTACATAGTAATTTTACCACATGGAATTTGAATTATGCTTGTGGTTTGACTTTCTCATTATCATTCGATTACCTCTATGAATGTTTGGAGCTTGGGATACTCTCTGGCCCTCGACTACTAAGAAGAGAGGAGAGGAAAGACCCAAAAGGAGCTGAAGGAAGGAAGAAATAGTACTTCTTTCTATCAAGGACTCTGTTGAGGGTAGAGTGATCTTAATTGTTCAACCACATCCCTTGGTGGTGCTAGTTTTGAATTATTTGCAAGGTTATTTTCTCCCTATTACCGGATGCTGCTTCTTCCTTTGATTGGTTAGCAGAAACAAATCTCATCAAAATACTTGGTTAGACCAGTTTGTTCACAATAGTTTCTACTTTCTATTATAAGAGCCAATCCCTTTTAAATTGAAATAGTTCAAAGATCTCTGATTTGTATCACCGTTCTTGCAAATCTTCCCACCTCACCAGTAGCGATGAATCTTGTCAACATATAACTTAGTGTAAATTTAGTATAGTCAATACAAAGTTTGATTGCAACATAAAACTGGATCCTAATATTGAATATTCACGAAGAATTAATATAAATGGTGGTTTTTGGTATAAAGATCTTTATAATTAATGTTACATTTGGTTTCTTATATTAAAATGAGTTAATATACTAAAATTCCTGCCTAAACTATCATGTTTTTGTCAGTATCCTGTTTAAACTATTCGGTGTCCTTAAAATCTCCCTGAACTATATTGCCTTCATATTAAAAACCCCTTGTTGCATTCTTAGAGGTGTGTGTAGTACTACACATGGCTATTTAACTCGGCTTAAAACCTGCCTAAACTATCACTTTTTGTCAGTTACTTAATTAAACTATTCGGTGTTCCCAAAAACCACCTGAACTATATTCCTTTTATATAGTTTACTCATGATGTATTACTTTCGGATGATTGATTAATTTTAGAGTTTTGGCCATAATAATATTTAATGTACTGTGTTAAATTTTAGGTTTAATTGTGATTGTGCTTTATGCAAAACTCCAAATAAATATAAATAAAGGCATATGGTGTTGCATTTCTTTAAAAACATCTTATATTACATAAAATAGATTACATAAAATAAAATTTCGCAAATAAAAAATCAATTGACTTACAATTACATTCTCTAATTCCAGATTACATAAAGAAGGTTCAAGACATTCAACTTTATTCTCTACAAGGTGTTGAGTTTAATAAGAAGATTTAAATTGGTATTCTTTCAATAATATGTGTAAGACATGAAAGAAGACTAAAACAAGAAAGAGAATAAATCATTTCAGAGGAAACAAGAGAGGAAAATTTTTTCCAGAGGAAACCCATATGGAAAATTGAAGAAAAAAGGTTAAAAAATGAAGAAGGTGAAAAATAAAGAAGAAAGATTAAAAAATAAATAAGGAAGAATGGTGAAAAATGAGAAAGAAAGGTGGATATAACTCAAATAAGGAGAATACTTATTAAAAAAATAAATGTGAAAGAGGGTTAGGCTAATTAGCCATTATTTTCTGTGATATGAGCCATTTTGATGGCTTTTTTCAGCCGCCACGCGCTCCCAAGCGAGTGTTTACACGTTATGCCTGGTCAGCAATGAAGGAGTTTTAATATGAAGGACAATATACTTCAGAGGGGTTTTGGGGACACCGAATAATTTAAGTAAGAAACTGACAAAAATATGATAGTTTAAGGGATTTTTATGGTATTAACTTTATTAAAATTGATGTTACTAATAGATGCTTAATTTATGCAAGTATTATGCAGTTTGTAATAAATAAAATATAGGATAAGAATAGATTAATCTAAAGACAATAATGTCCTTAAAATTGTCCATAACAATCTCTATGGTCTTTGAATTCACTGTTGCGGGTCTGAAAAACGGTTAATAAAGGACCGCCATAAGAGAAATCCCAGAGAGCTAATTGGAGCGTGACCCATTGACCCAATTGGTTCACCCAGCTTATTCCATACTAGATGGGATAAGCCCGTGCAAGCACGGGCCCAACACAAGAGCGTGTTTTATTTCGATAAATACTATTTGCCAGCGTGAAGAGTACAATATTTATTTGAAGAACATGTGTTTTATATCATGGTAACTTTTGCTTAAAAAATATTGCTCTGTGATGAAGACAACAATCACTTGTAAGATCTGTTAATATTTCCCAAGCAGGAGCACTTGCAATACGTAAGAAGTTCTGCGTCTTATTGTTGCAAAGATAAATTAACATTTAATGCTTTTTGGCCGGTGAGTCTGATGAGATAGTATTTCCTAAGCAATGAAAAAACACGTCAAGGATATGAATGAAGTTAGTATCTTCCTGCTGAGAGTGCAGCAGGGTAAACATTGCTAATGGGTTGAGAGTTAACTTGAGTTGAAATCCCAGATAATGAAATTTTCCTTGATCTACATCGCAGTAGAATATAATTCCAGAAGTTAAAAGAGATCAATATACTTATGCTTACAGTCCTTCAATAACAAAGATAAGCTGGTGTTGCATTCTTTTAGCTTTCTTGGTGCTACTATGCATTCCAAATGTAAGTATTTTTTACAAAGGCATAAAAGAATATCTGTAGTGCATAGATTAACTTGAGAAAATCCTAGTGATGGCAACAACAGAAGAGGCCAATCACTATAGAAATGGAAAATGGAACTGCACATTGTGGTTGATTGCTTGTTCATGAGATCTGCTAAAAGTACTGTATGACCAGAGGCACAGTTATTTGCAATAACATTAAGTACTTCCATTGCATGAGAGTGTGATAGATCGTAGATGATTCCCTCTAATACCCACATTGTATTCTTCTTTAGCTCTAAATCTGATGATTGAAGCTTTTCAAACCAATCTTTTCACTCTCTTCAATGATTTTGGTGTCAGCATTGGGTGTTTTTATTCATTGATTGCCTCTTTTAGAACAGTAGTTTTAATCTGCAAGACCTCTGGCAAATCAATCTAAAAAATGTTAGTTTCTTTCAAGCAACTCAAGCGGTATGCCCTTGTATCCATACCAGCAGATAAGCAGATTGATATCATTGGTCTGTTCTATAATGTCGCTATTCAAATAAATTGCAGGGGCTAGCAAGGAACAGAGAATATAAAATGCCAGATCGATACACTAAGTTCTCGCTAATGGACCAAGTTTAGGGAAAGGCCAGATCACATTGATATCATTTGTTGTTCTGTACTGTCCCTACAAAATGGATTCAAATAACTTGGCGGAGGCAGTGAGGAATAGAGAGCAGAGAACGGCGGAAAAAGGCTGGATCACATTTCTATACAGTTTTATATGTAGTCTTATCTTGCATTTCTGTCAGAGAATGTTTCTTGCTGTGAACCCATGAGCTCCTAGTCATGCAGCAATAACTGTTACCGCTGCGCCAAGGCTCGGCCTCAGTGAAGAACAAAAAGAAAATTTCCATCAATTCATAGCTCGATCCCCCTAGTTAAGCCATAACTCGAAAGAAATGCATCGTTTTATCTAAATCAGTTGAATGTATCAAGTTATGTGGTAATGACCTGCTTATCAATGATTATATCATTTAGCAATATAGAGATTGATTATTACCAATCACACCTATCTGAAGTTTTTGCCAAGTTGGTACCCCATAGTCCTAACAACAATTTTTTTCATTAGCCAGGCCAATTCCATTCCACGTCTAGAAAAAATTAAAACCTTATATCAGATTGTGAGAAGAAAAACTTTACCTGAGAGATATACCATACAGTTGTATTATAGATCCTGCTATCAGCACAAACATGGGCGACGGTTATCTATCTGCACATGTAAATTTTGGAAAGGTAGATAAACATTTTAACAAAAAAAAACACCAGAATTTAGACAGTTTGACATCGAGTGTATTCTTTGAAACTCATAGGAAATAACATAATGTATCTAAAAGCAATATTTGAGGCACCTCAAATAAAGCAAAATCCAGGAAAGCGATAGTGCATCTACCAAGGTCAAATCCTCTGCTGATGCAGTGCCGCTTTTTTAACTATTGTTGGAATGTCAGTGGAAATCTGATGTAGTTTCCACGTCTGTCATTCTACCTCCAATCCTGCTTCCTTCAGCAGTCATGGCTTAAAGATCCACAATATCAACAAGATTTTGCCAAAAAAAGCATACAATTAGTCACCAAATGTACTTTAAAACATGAACATTTAGATGAAAGAATTAACAGCTAAAGATAAATATGTTAATACAAAATAGTAAGCACTGCTTAAAATTTTGTTGGAAAAGTTACAACTAATACCAACAAGACTTACTGGTAAAAATGAGTAAAGATTGATAATAAATTACAAAAAAGTTTTCTAAACAAATACCAAAAGAGTTCGTAAAAGTGAACTTATGAAGTTACTAATTTCGGTCCATAGAGAATACGCAACCTAACATTTCAATACAAAGTTATAAAGCATGTTATTTTGGGTTGAAATAAAATGATAGCGCAATTTTCTGTAGCAACTTATAGTACTTTGTGGTACTAACATAGGGAAGCATTTCAGTCTGCAGGGCTACCTGACCCAATGAACATGCAGAACAGCACAAAGAGAAGGAAAGGAACTTTTCTGCACCTGAAAGTCCATTAACCTGCATCTGCATATGTAACACAACTATCACACTGGAAACATATATCTATCTAATGGAATATATCATTAAGAGAGGAATAGAAGTAGTACGTAGGTCCAGTGTAGTCCTGAACCCATCTAGAAATGGAAAGAAAGATCATTAATAACAAGATGAGAAAAGAAATCGAGTTACAAGCTAATTCTGCACGATGATTGTATTAATGCTGTATATTGTGTTAGAAACAATATTTGCCCGAACAAGCTAATTCTTAAGATTGCCCTTTAATGTAAGGGGAACACGAATCGCCTAAAAATAAGTTACTTACAGAAAGAACATCACAGAACATGTACGGCTAAAATATGATTTTCTCTGTGTTCCTCTTGAAGATCACCACTCTTCTGATAGCAATAGGAGAACGGAGAGTTGAAATTGAAGAGCTGTAGTATACGTTGCAGCTGAAAATGACTATGGAAACCGTAACAAATACTAACTCACCATCAGGAACAGTAAAGCTTCAAATTTTATGGATTGCATTAGTGAGCCTGTCATTTCGTCTATATCAAGAACAAGTATATGCTAGCTGACAATGGCAATCCCAATTTATAGTTATTTGTAGACCTTTTTCATTTAAGTAACTATGTTTAACTTATAAATAGGGTTTGTTTATAAGTAGTTTGACTTAAAAGAATAAAGATTTATCTGTAAAAAGCTCATATAAATAGGTTGATTAAATAAGCCTTTAACAAAGTCTGAATCAGTTTGAGGGGATACATCAATAAGAAACAGAAATTTCTTCTAACAATTTAACTATATGACAAGGCTATCACTATTTCTATTTGGATTTACAAAGCAGTAGTTACTTGACAGCAAAAGTATATAACATAGTATTATCTCTTTAAAACTTAAGTTTTGAGTAATAGAGCTTAAAACTTTGTTTGGAAAATTATAGTAGCTAATACCAACATGAGTTACTGGTAAAGAATTTTAAGTCACCCGATCAGTTGTCTCCATTCCCATTAATTTACAGCAGTAGTCTTTGTTGTCTCGCTGATATATTCCAAAGTTGATGATTGAGGTTGGGATGCCGCTGGACATAGCCCTAAAATATCACTTTAATGACTTCTTTGAGTCCTCACTTATGGAGATGGAGCTGCTATGAAAAACATATTAACAAAGAAAAGATAAGCCGGCTGAAACACCAATTTCTCTTCAAGCAGTTGAATTTCACAAAATCAAGAAGGATTCAACCATTATTTTAGTTGGAGCTGCAAAATACCAAGCAAAGCCCCTAATTTCACTTCTGCCAAAAGCGAAACAAAATCGTCGGTGGCAATCAATGTAGACTGCAAAATTAAAAATTTAGATTTTCTCTGGAAGACACAAATCAGCAAGTGCAGGGACACAAAAGGAATTATACCTAGCACAGAAGTAATAGAACGGTCTCCTGCTTGCTTTAGGGCTAGAATGTTCACTTCTCGACTGAGTACCTCCAGTTTGCGACTTGTACGTTGCCGCATCTTTCCTCTTCCTTCACCCCCTTTGACATCCTTCCTCTCTACTTCTCTGCTCTGTCGTTTCCCTGCTTTTACTTCTTCAATGGACAGCTCGGGTTTCCGCAAGTCTTCTTTATCCTCCTCTGACTTTGGTCATTCCAATCGAAGGTAAAATATTTTCTTCTTCTTTTGCTGAAAAAATTTTCTGTAAAGTTTCAATCATCAATTGGAAAATTATGTTTCTTAATCAATGGCAGCGGTGGTAGAGGAAGAGGGAGAGAATGGGACAATAATGAAAGATCAGGAGCCCGAGGCGGTGGTGCTGTCAGCTCCGGCAAAGATAAAATTGATGCTCTTGGGAGACTCTTGTATGTATATCACTTTATATTTCTTCTTTCGGCTTTTGGTACTGTTCTTTTTTATTATGTAGTCAATTAATCAACTGAGCCTCAATTCCAAATTGGGTGCACTATATGATTCATTTGTTTACATTTCCCTCTATTCAGGTCATGTGCCAATGATTTCAGTAATTCATGTTGATAGACTATCATCCTTCTTGTGACACATGATAGTTAAAGAAAATTCAATCAGTCAATCAACAGAACAGTAGTCCCAATTAGTTGGCTTTGGCTTTATGAATCCTCTCTGCCAATTTTGCTTTATTTGGGTCCTTCGTTATTCCAAGATTCATAATAATTCTTTGGTACACCATTTTACACTTCAACTTACTACGATCTTCTTCCTTTATCCTGGTTTAGGACCAGCAATACTTTGCGAAAATCAGGGGGAGGGGGAGTTAATAAAAGAAAAATAATACTTAGAAAATTTTGTCTAGCCATGATGATCATTGGAAGTGATTAGTTCCAGGTCTCTAGGTATTAAGGGTATGTACATCCTGTAGTTTGAAATTATAGTTCGTTAAGTACCAAGTGTCACTTGTCTTAAACTTTCTTAGTTCTCTTATCAAAATCCAAACTTTGTCTAAACTAAATATGATATCTCGAATATTCTGTAATGTTGTTTAAACTTAGGACACGCATTTTGCGGCACATGGCCTCTGAGCTAAACTTGAATATGAGGAATGATGGGTATGTGAAGGTGCAGGATCTGTTAAAGCTAAACTTAAAAACATTTGCGAACGTCCCATTGAGGTCACACACAGTTGATGATGTCAAAGAGGTTAGTTATGCGAAGCCTTGTGCTCCTTTAATTTGTTGCCTCCTTCCTTTCTTTCAATTGAGCGAACTGGTTTCCATTGTTTTCTTATAGGCAGTACGGAAGGATAATAAGCAAAGATTCGGTCTGTTGGAAGAGAATGGAGAACTTCTGATACGTGCTAACCAGGGCCACACAGTAAAGGTACGTTCTTTCCTTAAGTGGAATAATGTTATTTCGTTTCCTATTTCGAGCAGAATTATGTTGGATTACTCTGTCAATAAATTAGGCCAGTCAGGGTGCTTCCAGTCTTCCACTATAGCTGGACAAATTTGTGAGTTTTGATGAATAAAGAGGTAAAGTCTCAATATGTTTGGAGATGAAAAGAGAAAGAGAAAGAGAAAGAGAAAGAGAATGAAAGACTAGAAAGTGAGAGATTGGACATGTATTTTCCTTCAATTCATGCACTTTAGAAAGTGTGTTAGTGGAGTGCCTATAAGCATATTTCATTTAGTGCAAGCATTTACACCCTTATTGTTCCTAATAATTTTGTATTACAAATGACAAACTATTATGAAATTCTCACTGCATCCGCATCTTATTCATAAACTACTACACCTCAGTCCCAAACAAGTTGGGGCCAGTTATATGATCCTCACTTAGTGTGTTTCTTTATTTAATTTATCTCAGGCCAAAATTATACAAAATAAAAATTAATTTTCCATATTTTTGTATTACAAATGAAACACTATTATGAAACTCTCAGTGCATCAGTATGTTATTCATGTTTCTAATAGTTCCAATTTCATCTTTTCGTAATTAAAAAGGTATCTCATGATATGCAGACCTTTCCCAAATGTGTTTTTCCCTTGTATGAAAAAGTAAACTAAAGTAATGGTATAGCAGACATCCAATAGACTTCTGTGGTCCACAAGTTAGCAGTGTCATCGTTGGTAGCTGAAAATATATTGTTCCAGTGGAGGAGACTCCACTGTTCTTTGTTGTTCTTCTTCTTTATTCTGAGCATGGTTGACATCAAAATTACTTTTGTATAACTAGATCTAGCTTCTTCTTCTCGTTTACTGAGTATGTCAAATATTTATTCTTATTTAAGTTTTGCACATCTATGTCCATGCTTCTTCTGTTCTTTTGGACATAGTTGATATCCAAGTATTTAGTTCTTTCTATTTTTTATGACTAGATCCTATCTGGCTGGCATTTATGTTTTTATTCTTGTAGAAACTTCAAATGAACAACAGTTGTCTTCTTCATTGTCAACTATATTATATTCATTTACAAATTCTGACACTGCAAATGAAAATAACGTATATGTGCCCTTTACCCAATATCAATTCATAATCTTTGAGTTGGCAATCTTTTCTCTAAGTTTTTACATCTCTTAGCAGATAGTTGAAACTGAGAGCTTATTGAAACCGATCCTTTCAGCTGATGAAGTTGCAGGTATAGTGAATTTTGTGCATTTAATATCTTCTAAATACTTCTAGTTGGAATATGTCTTTTTTCATAGGAAAAATCACTCTTATTTGGAGTCTGTCTGGGCTACTATTTGAACTGTTTTATAAATTCTAAGCACCCTATTCAATATCATGGGGGTGGGGGTTGATTGGTCATAGGGCTAAAAGGAATAAATTTGGGTCTTGCTCAATGTCAAACTGCCATGTATTCCTTCTATCGCAACTTAACTGGCAAAATTTTTAAATTGTTGATAATTTTCCTGAAAAGATCTTGCTTTTACCAATGTAGTAGCAGATACTAACATCTGAGTAATTTTCTTTTGTATAAAGTGCTAAAATCTGATTAATGTTAATAAATGTATAATGTTAAGAGTACAAAAATTCAGTGTTTCATTTTCAAATTCTCATTTTATATATTGTAATATTGACCAGAAGAGGGGTGATCCTGAACTCAATACATGTATAATGTAAGTTCAAAAAACTCTTCAAGTTTCATTTTTAGGTTCTTGTTTTCAATATTGTAATATAAATTGAGATTACTTCCTCATCTCGTGCTGAAGAACAATTTTTATATCAATGTCTCCCTGGGTCTTACTTGAGAATTTCTGTCTCTGATGTTTTGGTTTTCATTTGTGGCAATATGCAGTTTGTGTACATGGCACTTATAAGAAGAATTTGGAATCAATTTTGGAGCATGGACTCAAACAGATGAAAAGGTTACATGTCCATTTCTCATGTGGCTTGCCAACAGATGGGGAAGTAATTAGTGGTAAGATATCTTATAAGATCTTGTATCCGTTGCTATTTTCACAATTTACAAATTCATTGTATTTCATGCTAATGTCATAAATCTACTTGCACTGATTACTGTTTCTCATGGCATGAATAATTCCTGCACAGAGGCGGATCCAAGATTTAAATCTTATGGGTTCAACTTTTGAAATTTTTAGCATTGAATCCATTATATTTTTCAAGTTATGGGTTCATATCTACTATTTTGTAATTTTAATGAATTTTTACACATAAATTTTTACTCCGCGTGCCACTGGTTAACCCATTTTTTATTCGTATTAAACACGGGTCGGGTCGGATAATTTATCCGTTTTTGCAGTACCTATTTTCGACCGGCTCATATCTGACCCGACCCGCTGTTTGCCACCCCTAATTACAAGAATGACCCTTTCATTTATGACAGTTCTAATAAGTAGTAAGATGATTAGTACAAAAACATAGTGGCCAACTTGTTGAAATCTCAAGAAATGGCTTCCACCACTTGGGCACATGTAGAATTAAAAAAATAATTTATTTTTCTCCAAAATTTGAAAAAGATTGACTTTGGTGGATACATTTATTTTTATTTTCCTTTATTAAGGATGGAGTTTGGTCATTATTTCATGTTTTCATTAGTTCACTAACTACAATGAAGCAATGGACAATCTAAAATTTCGTTCATTGCATCTCCAGTTTTAACCCTAAACCTTCCCCAAACACCAAGAAGAAGGGCAAATTGGGAACTAAAGAAGAACTATAGAAATTGGTAGCATGCATGTACAGAGTATAGGAAATAAAAAATGTATAATTAGATGATTCCAATTATTAGATAACAAGAATTCCCATAGTTTTGTAACAAATATCATGGCCTGCATTACGAGTATGGCCCTTTTGTGAGGACATATCTGTTTCTCAGATTCAGACATAATCTCCAAATATCGTAGTACAACATTATATGCAGAGGCGGATCCAAGATTTAAGGTTTATTGGTTCCTACAAAAATCTCGAGTTAATATACAATACTAACTGGATGAACGGACTGGGTTCCAAGCTAAATATTTTTATACATTTAATGAATTTTTCAATACAAATACACGGTCTAGACAAAAGTTACTGGGTTCACGGGAACCCGTAGCTATTGAACTGAATCCGCCCCTGTTCCTGTAACACACAAATTTCTCAACTGTACCATCAAAGGTACAATAGTTGATCTAGTAGAATCCTGACATGGTGCATTTCTAAGAATCATTTCCTGCGATTTCTTATGCATCATTGTTTATCTTTGACCTTCTGTATCTTCCTTATCAGCAACGGACTCTTGCTTTTAGATAGTTCACCTGAACTTCAATATACTTGGTTTTCTTGGGTAACTGAATAATCTTTTCCACTGACCAGGAATGAGGCGAGATGTTAATGTCCTCATCTTTCTTGATGTGAGAAGAGCTCTGGCAGGTAATTGTTTTGATTTTTGAATTCTAGTAAAGTTTTTCTAAAGTTTTATCATAATTCCAATAAAATGGAATCGAATAAGGTACTAGTTAGAGACTGAACATATTAGAAACCTATAATGGGTTCTCAAGAAATAAGTAATATCTGCAGTGAGATGACAGGAAACAATATTCTAACTTTCTGTATTCAGACTGATGTTTTAGCTTCGTTATATATTCTTTCTAGATTCAAAAACTAACCTCGAAATCACAAAGAGAACATATTCATAAGTTGATAGTTGAGAAAGTGATATGAAAATTCAAAAATCCTACTTTTCCATGTTTCTCACTGTTATACATTGCTTCAGACGGGATGAAGCTTTATATCTCAGACAACAAAGTTATCTTGACGGAGGGGTTTGATGGTGCGGTGCCTGTGAAGTACTTTGAGAAAGTAGAATCATGGCCAGATAGAAAACCTTTGCCATTATAGATTGGAATGTCACTTTTTTCCTTCATTCCCTTTTGCATCCTTCTTTCTTTTTACTCCCTTGCACTGCACCTACTCTCCGCTTCCTGGAGAAAAAAGAAAGAGATAAATTTGTAGCAGGTCATAATGCTCTTTGTTCTCTGCTATTTTCCTTACTAAGATCCGTTTGAATCAGATATGACTAGTTTGGTGATCAGACGCATCTGCACTGCAGTGCAGCTTTGATATTATTTTATCGATTTTTTGGTTAACTCTTCTTGAAGGAGAAGCATATATGATATATGCAGCTTTCTATCCGCCACAACTGACATGGAATGTAATACATGAATAACAATAGTAAGTTAAAACGTGTCGTGGATTTGGTTCATGAAATTGTTATTCAAATTAACCATGTTGCCAACCACAACAGTGAATACCTGTTCAATTAGTTTCTCCAAAATTAAGAAATATCTGCACTGCCCAACGTTCAAATGCATGTAAACATTGTGATAGAAGATTGCAGAAAAGAATAACTGGCAAAAGCGTCCTAGAAGTTGGTTCATTCATTAATTTTTTGGACAATGGAGTCAAAAGTCGGTGGATAATGGCAGTTTCTCTCTATTTAATAAGTACTACACTAGAGTTTGATCACAATATGATTCTTATACCAGAGTTTATTCACAATAAAGATTCTAACTCGTGATTTGCATATATAACCTTTACTACTGCACCAAAGTTCAGGGCCACAAGTTGGTTTATTGTGCATTGAGGGCACAAAGGGAAGGGCTAATAGGAGTATAATAATCTATATATTATTATAATGCGGGGCCATAAAAGTCTGACGTGGCACTTTGATCGAGCAGCATTCTCATTTATCTTTTGTCTCAAATAATTGACCATGCTTTTCATTTTAACCTGTGGGAAAAAAGTACCTAACCGTCACGTCTATAATTTTACAAAGATGAAAAGTCACGTCTTTATTTTTGTTAATTGCCCTCCGTCTCTTCTTCTTCCTTTTCCCAGCCAACATTGGTTTTGCTATTTTTTTGTTACCTCACGATACAAATTCATGGTTATCCCTGAGGCAGAGCACAAAAAATAAAAATATCTCTAGGCCACTTCTCCGCTCCTGAAGCAGTGTAGCCAGGTGTTCGATTCTTCACTCCCTTTCAATTCTTTGATTTTTTTAAAAGTGAACATCTATGTAAGAGTGACACGATTAGTAGACTGACGACGAATGCTTTGTCAAATTGACATGACGAATGCTTACTCCGGCGGCTTGATACAGTCGACATCTCTTCCCCTCATCGCTGCAAAACACCTTAGGCCTGAATGTGGTACCTATATCTACTAAATGCTCTCTTTGAAGTGATTAAATTTAGTGAATTTATCTTACGTCGTTCTCTTCTGAATTAGCAAAAGCTACGGTTTGTTCTTTTACTCTGTACAAAACTTATGTATTTATTTGTTTGTCTTTACACAGTTATTGGATGTACCAGTCATCTCTACCCTTCATCAATTGAGCAGTTTTGGGTGGGCAAGAATCACCCCCGAGTGATTTCTAACAGAATTTGGGGGCAGTTGAAACTCCAAATTATTGATTTTGCAATGAATAGGTTTGAAGGATTCATTATTTCTGACATATATGACCCATCTATAAAGTAGCTCTTTTGTCCTATTTTTTCCTTTCTATTTAAAATGTCAGTAGCAACTGATAGCTATTCCTCAACAATACAATAATATTTTCAAACCAAAGTGTAACATACGGTTTATTGTAATGTGTTCATGGCATGGTTTGCTTCAGTTCTGATTATATTTGTGGAATATTCATTAAATATTTTAGTTGTGTTGTTATATGCTCCTAGGATTCTACTTTCTTCTTGGTATATATTGAGTGTGATAGACGCTGCCTGCCTATAAATTTTATGCTTGGAATTCTTCTGCGTAACAGATATTAAAAGAAATTGTTGTTGAATTCATAACATTTGGTTCTTTAGAAAACAAAACTTTTATTGTTACCACTATGATCTGTATGTAGTACATGGTTACTGCTACTAAGCATTTTTCATTATAGGGGAGTGGAATTTAAACATGCTAAGCTTCTTATCTTATTAGGTTTCTCATTCAAGTGTTTCATTCCTCAAAGTATACTTATCTATGTTTCTTGAAGCTTGATCTTTTAGTGCACTTCATATTAAATCTTGTAATTATTGCATTCTTCTTTTGCTTTTCATGGTTAATCTTTTTTAACTCTGTTATCAAACTTAACAAGCATAATTCAAAACTTTTCTCTTTTTGTTCCTTTCTTTGTTTTGCTTGGTATTATTTTTGGCAACTACCTTGTGGGCTATGACATATCTAATACTATATCTGATAATACACAAGAAATATAGCAGATATGTTAATACGGAAGACAATGTTGAAGTGTGTTAAAAGGGACCAAGACAGATACCTCTATTGCTTGCCACAATTAATAAAATTTTGATAGATTATTCTGATTAATTTCTCTCAGGTACAGGCAATTCGAATGACATTGCCTCCTCTCTAGAATATTAAAGACACTTACTCCACTTCTTTCTGTCAGAAGTGGACTAATTTGCCATATTTTCGTCCTCTTTTTATTGGCATAATTAGAAATCCAGTTCTCTTGAAACTAACCGACGTTGCATAACGCATTGGCCAAGAATACCTCTCTTTTCTTTTGGCTTCTTTCGATACAATTTGTTAACTACATATATTTTCCTATTCCCCATGCCATTTGTCTTTGTTTTCTTAACTGCTTCTTCTTTTCATTAATGTTGCGTATTTTTCCTATTTTTTTAACTGTTAAATAGTTATTACTTTTATTTTTGTTAATTATCGCATGTAGTTTTCTCCAATTAATTAATCTGCTCATCCTTTTCAGTATCTAATATTCTCTAATAAAAATGATTAATCGATGTGTACTAAACTACTAATCCCTATGTCTACGAGCAGATTCATTACTATGTTTTTATACCCTATATATAGACTATAGAGCTTAAGTAACCTGAGCAAGCATGTTGTAAAATCATGAAGCCGCATTACTAATAACAAAGGGTCAAAGCCAGTGCCATCCAAATATTTCATCAATATCTTAAACGAAAAACGGCTATTCTTTTAGATTATTGTATGATTTCTTAACTATGGCTACTCCTTAACTAGGTAACGGGACAAGCATAATACAGTTAACTTCAGGATATGTTCTCACAGAGTTGTTCGATTTTCACTATCTAATTTTAATTACCATAATTTGTAAACTGAAAAAGATGTTATTTATTTATCTGCAGGTTTTACAGAAAATAATGAATCAAAGCCAAAAAAAAGCAAGCCTCATGAAAAAAGAAAAGTGCTAAATACGCTACAGAGGCAAAGGAACATGATAAGAAGTGATGCAACATGCAGCCGGAAGGGATGGAAAGCAAAAATAAAAATAAAGATAATTAGAAGCCTACAGAGCCACCATAGGATTATATTCATGAGAGCAAGAAGGGGCCACACTACAGATCCTATAGTCCTGCTCAGGGGCGTATGTACCATAACGGTACGGGTTCAGCCGAATCAAATATAGCTTTTGTCCAATCTTTATATTTGTCTTCAAAATTCAACGCATTAACTTCAAAGGGGTATAATCCAAAACCTATAAATTTCAAATCTTGGATTTGTTTCTTGTCTTGCTGAAAAGGTATGGTTAATTTTTTTAAATTTTATTTTGATGTATTTCGATCGAGTTACACTGCTTTTTTACTCATTCTTTTGATTGGACATGTCAAAAGAGAGAAAATTAGTGAATGAATGAAGCTTCCCCAAGATCTTCTACCACTTTGCAATAAAGCAAGAGAATACTTCTTTATGTGCTCTATTAATTTTAAGAGGAAGTATACTGAATTCTGATATGGTAAGCTTATTGTGTTTTATAAGTTATTAGAAAAATTGTGATGCTTGATGAGATATTAACAATGTGCAATCCTTCCACGGCCAAGATGAGCTAAATTACTTAGATGGTTTATTTTAGAGTTTGCAAAAACTAACTTTGCAAACTTAGTGTTCGAGTTATTGGAAAGGTGTTTGTTTGATCTGTTTTTGCAAACTTTAAAAAAAAAATAATCTCCAACCTTAGTTTTTGAAATCTTTCAAAATAATTAGCTTTAGATGAAGTTTATATTCCCAATGATGGGGAGTTAAACATTAGCGAGATGGTTGAATTCTATTGTGTACGTTCAGGTAGCTCCTCTCAGCGAAGTTAGTTATTTTGAAGCAATAAATGGACTTCAACATGGAATGTCTTCTCTCCGAGGATCTAAGTCCGTCAAACTTATGGTATCACTCATATTGTTTTGGCTTCTTGGATATAATTGTTTGAGAATTGGGTGACACTTCATATGATTCAATACATTCGATCGTTGCGTTATACGAACAAACATGTAGCTTTATAGTTTGGATTTTTAGAATTATGAAGCCGGCTTAGAGAACGTTCATCTAAATCAGTTGAGGGAAGTAAAAGCCAAAAAACTCTTTGTACAAACCTTATTGCTATATCAACTTGAAATAGCCGTTTTCTTGTGGCATAATGACTTATTACCTCCTTTGCAATAGCATTATAATATACGCTTCATCATCCTGCTTCTTTTTTGTTGTAGCATGTCATACTCGTATTTTTCTTCTTCATAACTATTCTATTTAATATGGTTTGCTTTCATATCTGTTCTTTTTTCTACATTTTTCTTAATTTACCTAATGCTAGAATGATTGGTGATTTAGAGTATAGCTATCGCATTTTTAATTGTTATCTTAGTCATGCTTATACATTTTTTCTTTGGTGATTGGGGCTATCAATTAGACCTATTTAAGTGCTATCAATTTGACTCATGCTTTATGCCTTTGTGCTATATCTTCATCTCCAGCCTTTGTCACCTTTTTTTACTTATCTTAACCGTTACAAATGGACCACAATACTACTAATATGAGCCTTTGTTAAATGAATGTAATACATGATCGATTGATAGAACTGACTACAAAATACTAAGCAGCAAAGAGCTTCTTGCAATTAACCAGAGTAAAAGTTTTATATTACATGAACAAGTTCCATTCTAAGCTGATAACACTGCTTGCTGGTGGGATGCCTTCTTGATTGATCGATTATTTTTTTATGCACGAGACTTAGATGGATGATTCCTTCTTTTGATTTGTATTCTGTCAACTTTAAATTTCTTTACTTTTCACTTCATCAGCATGTTTTTTGAATAAATGAAAATTTTTAACAAACAAATATTCTATTATCTAACGCAATAAATATATCAAAATACTTAAATGCCAGTATTAATAACATGTACATAAAAGATTCATGTTAGGCTTCACACGCCTACATATTTATCTTTTGTAAATATCCTAACAAGAAATGCAATTCTACTTCTAATAGAATTATTTATATCTGTGATATGATCAAATATATAAAATATACAATAAAATTTAATCTATTCTATTTTAAATAAATTTACAACTACATGAATAGGTATAAATTTACTAATTTCATTTACAATCGTGCGAGTTATATCACTAGTAATAGGATAAATGAGAAATAGCCACCGTCCCCATTCTGAGGGAAGAAAGAGAGTTACCAAAGTGTCTAAGATTTGGTCATATGAATAGGCAAGAACGCGAATCATGCAACAAAATGTGGCTACCAAGACACTAAAGCAGGGTTACGAAAGGATAATTCCAAAAGGAAACTCCATCTGTCAAAGGGAGAATGTGTTAGGAAATGTCAAGTTGCACCTAGTAGATAACAACGCAAAAAGAATTGTCAAATATTGTCGGTTAACAAATTTGCAACTAACTGTCAAAATTTATCTTACAAGCAGTAAAAACAGGATCTACCATTATATGATACTTACTACTAAGTACTAGTATATATTTTGGAACTATTAAGTTTCTTGGTCGTGTTTGTGTTTATATGAACTGATAAGCTACTCAAGAGGATTTACCATTTTATCATGTACTTTTAACTTACACGGTTATGCTTGATATGCAAACTATTAAACGAAATCTTAATACATAGACATGATGTGCAAACTGAAAATAACAAGATCGATGACAATGCTACAGATGTCAAAAATGCTATTCCAAATGTCTGAAAATTGGTCCAAGGAAAGCTGCTACAGACTCCAGAATTCCAAATGTTTGTAAATGCTCAGAAAAGAACGAAATCTGGGAAGAGCTTTCACTATTAGTGTGAAAGGACCAGAAGTTTAGTAGACTCTTCCTATTTCCTAAAAGTTCACACGATCAGAATTGAGTAGAGATAAATGGATTCTCAGTGAGCACGCAAGCTTTCACAAATATATGTTCCTTGACATCTTCTTGATCCAATTCTTACAGAGACCAAGGCTGCAACTTTTTTAAACTAAAGGCTTAACAGCTAGTAACTCCTAGAGAAACACCACATGTTCAGACCCATTCAAGAGTATTCCAATTTCTTCATCCTGAATCAGTGCCGCTATTATCCAAATAATCAATGAAACAGGCATATCTATAAAATAAACACACTTGCAAGTTAACAGAAGGTAGAGTTGGAAGTTGATCATACATGCTACTATCCCCTACTCTTTCCGAGTTAGAGTAAAAATAAGTTCTAACCGTTTTGAAAGGACCAGGATAATTTGTAAGAGCCATCAAACAAGGTTTTGTACAATATAAACATAAGCAAGATTGTGAAAGCTAAATTCCCTATAGCACATATCTTGAGGGTTTAGTGTTTGTGTGTTACTGCTGAAGATTTTCCAGAAGGCAGGAAACATTCTAGCTTGCAGACATAAAAATATAAAAGGTAGGAGGAGATGAAGGGCAAATTTTGTCTCCTTGATCCTGTAGTAACTAGTTTTCTGGTTGAGCGTTAGGAGTTGCAACCTCAAAGCGAAGTTGAGTGCTAGGTAGTTGCATACTCAAAAGGGAGGAAAAACAGAAGTTGGATTTGGGGGTTCTCTTCTAGCTTCTTAACTACATGAGCATATCATTCTTCGTCTTCCAATTTCCCTACTTCATCCATTTTTCCATATCTTGGAGTAACCTACCATCTTCTGAAATATACTACTTTTTAGTTTTAAATGGTGCTTCCTATTCCCTGCCCCCCTTTTCCCATAAAGAAACTCTCTAACGAACAGGGAAAAGAACAATGGAAAAAATCTATTCTAATGAGTCTGCATAATCAGCTTCCAATAATAAACCACAAAATATAGAATCACAAAGTACAGAATACTATATTAACCGCCAAAATAAGAAATATACAACCTCAGCATTCATGTAAAAGCATGATCTCAGAAATGTCCTAACCAAGTAAATCTATGGAAGATCACAAATGTGGAACTATCGTGTGCTACGTTTATTAGAATTTAACAAGTGATACATGTCTGCTGTCCATCAATCAGCAGTAGTCTATCATTCATGAATCCTAAATTGATAAAACTACAACAATTACATTCCAAAAGTAACAAAAGTTTGTTTCAGGTTGCATTTTGAAGCAAACAATGTGCATCCACCACAAAACTTCATCATCAGGGGATCTGATGTGCTTCATCATCAAGATATAGAAAGCAAGAAAGTAGGGCAGCGATCGGAGATGCTTTTAAAAACAATCATAAGAATCAAAATGAACAAGAATTGAATGGTAGGATCCTACCGCACAATCGAAAGAATGTATCACTGGGCACTCTTCTTTCCATTACCATAGTAATTGAGGTACCATCGAACAAATTTCTTCAATCCGGTCTGCAGATCCGTACTAGGCTTATATCCAAGCTCCCTCTGGGCCGAACTTATATTCGCATGAGTAAACTGCACGTCCCCATTCCTTGGCAACTTCATCACCAATCTCTTAGCCTTCACCTTTAGCAACCTCTCCAAAATGCTGACAAGATCAGAAACCGCGACCGGGGATGTGTTCCCCAAATTAAACACCCGCAATTGAGCAGGGCCTTTCTTCTTCCCACCACTTCCAGTGCTCTTCTCCGCAGTATCCAGTGCTGCCAAACAACCCTTCACTATATCATCTACGTAGGTAAAATCCCTAGCTACCGTGCCATGGTTAGCTGCCTCGAATATGGGAATCGATTTTCCCTTCAAGATATCCCTTGTGAAAAAGAAGTAAGCCATGTCTGGCCTACCCCATGGTCCGTAAACGGTGAAAAATCTCAATCCAGTTAATGAAAGCCCATAGATATGATTATAGGTATGAGCAATTTCTTCACCAGCCTTTTTAGTAGCAGCATAAAGACTAGCAGGCTGATCTGTCCTATCCCTCTCTGAAAAGGGTACTTTAGTATTCAATCCATATACAGAACTAGATGATGCCCATACAATAGCAGGTTGAGGATTGACACTTTTGCAAATTTCAAGTACATTAACAAGACCAGCAATATTACTATGAACATATGAGCCAGGATTTTCCATGGCATAACGTACACCTGCTTGTGCAGCCAAATGCATTACATGAGTAAATGGAACAATATCAAACAGTTTCTTCAAAAGGGTGGCATCATTGATGTCACCCTCAACAATGTACACCCCCGTTCGTTCTAAGAGCGCTTGGCGCGCTCTCTTGAGCGAGGGATCATAGTAATCATTGAAATTATCCAGCCCCAAGACGCCATCTCCTCGCCGTTTAAGGGCAACAGAGACATGAGTTCCTACAAAACCAGCAGCACCAGTAACCAATACAGAAATACCATTACGTGACCTTACTTTAGCTGAAGCCTTAATCCTTTTTTCCCAAGCTGGACCACCGTAGGAGCTGGTTCTGAGAGATCTTCTAGAGAGATCTGAAGAAACAGGGGATGAAGAAGCTGGTGATCTATAGAAGAACACAAAGATCAAACCCAAGAATACAAATGACCAAAATGTAAGCTTGGCCAAGGAAAAATGCACCCTTAGCCTATTGTAAGGGGACTTTTCCATCTTGAACTTTCCAGGGGTTGATGGGATATTGTCAATGTGCTTCATTTGGGACATTACAATGACACTTCTGCCAAATCTTGGAAATTTGAGCAATACCCACTTTGGGTATTTCTTGTTTTCAAAGGAAATCACCAAATTTCCTTGGATTTTCTTGGAAAAAGCTTAGGGTTAGGGTTTGACCGAATCCTTCCTTTATTTTTTTGGTTGTATTTTCCGTAGTAATGAAGGATTGGTTGTGATAGTGGAAATGGAGATAAGAAAAAGAAAAAGGGTGGCTATAGTGTTGGTGGTGATGAGGGCGTGAAACTTTAGCGCTATATTTATGGGAATCTTCTGGTTTCTTGGAGGGACTGGTTGTTGTTGTTGGAACAAAATGGTAGTAGTAGTAATTACTTTTCTTTTTTCTTTTTTAAACTTTGTGGGGTTTCTTTGGCTTTGGTTTAACAGAAGAAAGATTAATGATTGATTAAGAAATGGGTGATTGGAAGAGAGAGAGAGAGAGAGAGAGAGAGAGAGAGAGAGAGAGAGAGAGAGGGGGGTGTGTGTGGTGGGAGTGTGGACTAATTGAGGAGGGACAAGGAGAATATGGTTTGAACAATTTAAAAGGGAATAATGAAGATTGGAAGTGGACTAATAGAGAAGAGGTTGAGTTTTAGGGGGTGGGTTGGGAGATCAAGAACATAGTCAAACAAGACTGTAATTAATGAAATGGATTAACCTCGGTATAAAAAGCTCTGAGTATAAAGTTAATGAACCCTAGTTTTTATCATTACAGTGCAAAAGCTGACAAATAAGACTATGTTGCTAAATTGGTAAGTAAAGTATATTTCTACTCCTTTTGGGAAGAGTTGGTTTTTGTCTTATTGAAGGGGGGGTGGTGTTAAAGCTGGGAGGTGAGAGGTGGGTGGTTATTGCATTGATTGGTGAAAAAAAAAGGGCCTTGAAGTTAAGGCTTTATTTTCATAAAGTTGTTTACTTTAAAACAGATTTAATGAGGGGAGTTTCTTGATTTGGGGAAAAGCTCATTAAGGTTTTGGTGTTTCTGGAACTGTGAGTAAATTGGGGTGGTTTGTTGGTAATGCAGTGGATGAAAGTTTGTAGTTAATTATGAGAGGTTCTTAATTTTTACCAAATTTGGATGGTGAGATAATTTTTTGAATCTCCTCACTCTTTTTATTTAGTTTTCTACTAATCTTCTAGATAATATTGATGGAAAATGCACATCCATGGCCTGTTTCCATCTTAAAAGTGTGCAATTTATATTTAACTAGTGCAATTATTAGAAATTGAGGAACATCTCAATTCAAGAAGCTTTAATAAAATGGAAGTCTTGAATAGGTAATTTAAGAGCTCTTATTTTTTTCTCAAAAATGAGAGTACAACAACGGCTTTCTTTTTTGTCTAAGTTAAATTCCTACCATTTGATGTTATGCTAATTTGGTTTCTTAGCAAAGAGAAGTAGATTTTCTAGAAGAATCAAATAGCTAAGTAGTCATCTTCAGTTTGAATTTTTTTTTACTTAATTTTACCTAATGAAAGCTATATTTTTCTCAACAAGAAAGCGTACAACGACATCAATGTGTAGCTAAAAAAGTAATTCTCGTGCTAAAAGGAATTATGACTTTAGTAATAAAAGTTAATGCTTGATTATTATTAATGAAATATTGTCTTTTCTAGATGCATATTAAATAAAAGTTCACAATTTTGGCTCAAGTATTTTTGACGTTAGGCCAAGTAGAAGCATGTTTTTCACCATTCACGACTTTCTTAGCTTTCCCCTTATTTACTTTCTTTTTTACTTTTCTTCTAGATTGATTTTCAGAAAATTATCTTGTTTCATGCATTTAGATTATGCAATGAAGTATATATTACACTTCTTTATCGCTTTTTTATTCTTGTTTTTTTTTTTGGTTTTGCAATAAGCATGTGCTGATGTACTGCTCTAGTTAATGAGACTTATGCCCCTTAGATGTTATTTCAACAATCAATTATGGAAAACAAACTTTTCATTTTTTCTCTAAATATAAAAAAGGTTTTCGTTCACTATCTGATTTATTGAAACATGGAAAAAAGAATATATCAAATGAGTGACTAAGAATATGCTTCTCACTAGTGCATTTTTGGGGACCCATTGATAAGGACAAATAAAGGTTTCTTTTCAAATATTGATTTTTCACTTCCTTCCACATGGCTTTTATTACTCTAAAAATGCATGGGAAAAAGAAAAGGAAGAAAAAGATTAGAGGCAATAGCCCTCCAATTTGCAGAACGAGTACAATCCAAAAAAAAAAAAAAAAAAAAAAAAAAAAAAAAAAAAAAAAAAAAAAAAAAAAGGTTCCTCTCTACAACAATTTTATAAGTAGTTATTTAGAGGGAGGGGTAAGCCACCAAATAGGGGAAGGGAAGTCTTTTGATGAGATTGAAACAACTTATTTAAATAATTAATATTAGAACACCACCATCACCACCACCAACAACAACAAACCCAGTGATTTCCCATAAGTGAGGTCTGGGAGGATAACATGTACGCAGTTTTACCCCTACCAGTGGAAGGGCATATAGGCTGTTTCCAATAAACCGTCGGTTAGAGAACGACTGAAAAAGAAAAGATAATTGCAACAAATAAAAATGACAACAAGATGAAATAAAATCGAATCCAAGAATGCATTCAAACTCTAGGTAGTAATAGCCATCTATAAATAAAATATATCATACTAACATTAATGTTAGTGAACTAAGTAAGACAAAAAGAAACGCCCGACTACCTTCGAACCTTCTACCCTAATCTTTGACCTCCAGACTTAGGGTCATGTCCTCAGTCAGCTCTAGCTGCGTCATTTTCCGCCTAATAACCTCTCTCCAAGACTTCTTAGGCTTGCCTCTACCCCTCATGCTGCCCACCGAGGCTAACCGCTCAACCTTCTAACTGGGGCTTATATATTTCTCCTCTTAACATGCCCGAACCATCTCAACCTCGCCTCCCGCATCTTATCCTCTATAGGGGCCACTCCCATCTTTTCCCGAATAACTTCATTTCTAATCTTATTCAACCGGGTATGCCCACACATCCACCTCAACATCCTCATCTCAGTTACTTTTAGCTTCTGGGTATGAGAGTTCTTGACCAGCCAACACTCCGCTCCATACAACATAGTCGATCTAACTATATCTTTGTAGAACTTACCTTTAAGTCTCAGCGGCACATTCTTATCACACAAGACACCGGAAGCGAGCCTCCACTTCATCCATCCTGCTCCGATACGATGCGTGACATCTTCATCAATCTCCCTGTTACTTTCTTATTATAGATCTGAGATACTTGAAACTACCTCTCTTGGGGATACTTGCGTATCAAGCCTCACCTCAATATCCCCTTCCTGGGTACCATTACTGAACTTGTACTCCATGTATTCCGTCTTGGTCCTACTCAACTTGAAACCCTTTGACTTTAGAATCTGCCTCCAAACCTCCAGCCTCTTGTTAACACCACCCGACGTCTCGTCAATTAAAACTATGTCATCAACAAATAACATACACCATGACACCTTATCTTGAATGTGTCTAGTCAATGCGTCCATCGCCAAGGAAAATAGGAATGGACTAAGAGCGGATCCCTGGCGCAACCCTATCATAACCGGAAAGTGTTCTGAGTCTCCTCTCGCTACCCTAACCCAAGTCTTAGCTTCATCATACATGTCCTTAATCACCCTAATGTAGACTACCCCTTTAGCCTCCAAGCATCGCCAGAGCACCTCTCTCGGGACTTTGTCATATGTTTTCTCTAGGTCAATGAACACCATGTGCAAGTCCTTCGTCATCTCCCTATACCGCTCCACCAACCTCCTCACAATGTGAATGGCTTCTATAGTCGAACGCACCGGCATGAAACCAAACTGGTTCTCGGAAATGGATATATTGATCCTCACCCTCACTTCAACTACCCTCTCCCAAATGGCTTAACAGCTTAATCCCCCTATAATTATTGCAACTTTGGATATCGTCCTTATTTTTATACAGAGGAATTATCGTACTCCACCTCTATTCATCGGGCATCTTTTTCGTCCTAAAAATGACGTTGAACAGCCTACTGATCCACTCCAAACCAATCCTACCTGCATTCTTCCAAAATTCCACAGGTATTTTATCTGGCCTGGTAGCTCTACCCCTGTGCATTTTACGCATAGCCACCCGACCTTCTCTACTCTTATGCGCCTACAGTATCCGAAATTCCGGTGCATCTCGGAGTGCTCCAAGTCGCCCAACACAATATCCCTATCACCCTCTTCATTTAGGAGTTTATGAAAATATATTTGTCATCTTCGTCTAATCTGATCCTCTTCTATCAGAACTCTACCTTCCTCATGTTTGATTCACTTAACTTGATCCAGATCACGGGCATTCCTCTCTCTCATCTTGGCTAGCCTGTATAGCTTCTTGTCCCTGTCTTTGGCCTCAATCTCTTCATACATACGCCCAAATGCCGCAGTCTTAGCCGTAGTAACCGCTAACTTCGCCTCCTTCTTAGCCCTCATATACCCCTCTTTGTTCATTCTCTTCGCCTCCTCGTCCCTGCTCTCTATAAGCGTGAAGTACATCGCTTGCTTGGCTTCCACTTTCTCTTGTACCTCAAGCTAGATTCAATTTTTTTTTACATCCAATAGAAAAAAGCTAGCTTTATAAAACTGATCAACTCCTCAGTTTTCTTACCTATGTTGTTTCTTTCTTTCTTTCTATTATTCAAATAATTACTCAACTATTTGAAATTACCTAATATAGTCATATTTTTTTTGTTTGTAACGCAAAAGTCACTTAACTATACGTATAACACTCATAAGATCACTCGACTATATTTTCTCAAACTTTCAAGTGGCTAAATACCTATTTTACCCTCTAAATTTTCAATGTTTGTCGTTTTTTTACCTTTTTAATAGTATATTTTTTTCTCCCTTTTAATTTGTATTATGACTTACGCATTGAAAAAATAATCTTATTTATAAAGTAAAAACATAAAAAATATTATTCAAGTATATATAATGTTAGAATAGAATAATTCACTTTTTACTTTGTAAATAGTTTTCTTTATACACAAGTCAATAATATAGATTATTATTGTCACACCTCTTTTTTCCCGGGAGATAGGGGATATGGGAGTTTTTCCAATTTAAGTGACATTATTCGAAATGAGATTATTTATTTAATTCAGAGTCGCCACTTGAGATAATTATTATGGTGTCCCAAGTCACCGGTTTATTTTAGAATCTCAAATCGAGGAAATTGACTCTATTTATGGTCTGCGAACACAGAAGAGCAGGTAAGGAATTCTGTTAACTCGGGAGAAGGCGTGAGGCACTCCCGAGTTTCGTGATTTTAGCACGATCGCTTAACAATTAATACTTGGTCTAATTATCTGACTTATTACATGTCTACAACATATTCATGATTTTTACTTTTTAACCGCTTTTAATTATTTTTAGTCCTTTTAGTATTTATGAAATTTATTTGAACAAGTCGCGATGTCGTGCACTCGTTGTTTTGGTACATATTGCAAATCACGCT